AAAACAGTAATGTAGCGCAGTAGCCCGGAAAGTGTAGGGTGCGCGTTCGAGCCTGGCTAGGGTCAAGCCTTTTGCTAATAACTCACCATTTCCAGGGTATCATTAGCAGCAAAAAAATAAACCGCGATTATCGTAATAATAAAACAAGATGTTAAGATGGGATATCACTACTTTTCTTCCGTTTCCCCCTTCGATCCCTCTGTTTTTCTGAATCGGTAACTTAGCGCAATGGCAGAATCAACTTCGTGACGTCTTCATTTGGTTTTTGCTGGAGTTAGCGACGCCCCATTTCGCTTTGCGTTCTGTTTTTGAACATAGACTTCAATCCACTTTATTAGGCTTGACATAGTCAATCAGTGGCAATTCAAGCCTCTAGACCATCTTGGATAGATAGTCCGTCTTTCGAGTTCTCCGAAGTTGAGCTATCATCTGATAAGCGTTGGCAAAGCGCATTAGGCTGAGGGGGCATAAGGCAATGTCGTGCATAATCGAAGTACTGGAAACAATAGCGCAGCGCAATAACCCGGCAACATGAGATGAGGTGAGATGCAGGTTCCGTTTTGACCAGGGTTGAGCATAAAGCCAATAAGACGTCCTTTTTGCGCATTCCGGTCATATCTTAGACCTCCACCAACACCTGGGCATTTCTGCAGGCGTCTCGACTCCTGTAAAGTCACCAGATGCTCATCGGACCCAATTTTTTTGTTTTTTGAATGTTGGTCAGCTTTGTGAGCAAGTAGAATGAGGAGTTCGGCCAAGGTGTAGAGAGACTTAGTGCCAGGCTGGGCGAACCAATTACTTTTCAGTATCGCTGGACAGTTCGATTCGCACTTTGTAAAAAGTGGTTCACCTACGATAATTTTGACTGATTTTTGATTTATCAATAATAAATAATAATATAATAAATTATAACAGATCTAATAATTCTCATCTAATTTTTGGTCGACCCACGTTTTCATCAGATTAAAGGCAGTTGACACAATAAATCGCTATATAGATGTAGGATTTATACGACTGGCTTAACAGAATTCCGTGACCTCTGACAGGCGCTCCGTGGCGCCTTTTTGGAAAGGGGTAACATCTAATAACGCGCTAAACGAAGGCAACAACATTTCCGTCCGAACACCTTCCTAGCGCCGCCCGCCCACAAACGGACGACCGTTTCTGACGCTCGTATTCATTCATTTGTTGAGCAAATTATGAAGCAAAGGGATCGGTATGATGCGGCCGTGATGCTGGGCATGGGTTCACAATAGGCAAGGGTCTGTATCTTTCGGTAACGTTATTGGGCAAGAAGTGCGTTGCGGAAACTCGTCCGGAATGGCGGTTTCAAGTCACTGAGAACGGAAGGCTCTTTTCTCGTGGGGTTTTGAGGTTTATCAAGTTCGTTTCTTCGCTATATTCCCCTGACATACATAGCGCCCTAACTAGCATTTTAGGCCGAGTGGGAAACCAACGTGCTAACTGCCTTTACTCCATCTCAAACCGTTGCTTGCTATGAGTTCTGTAAAACTTGTCAAAATGATGCAAAGTGGACCAGTCTATAGCCCTGCTCATGGCAAATCCTCTATTCCTATGTCCACTGCCCTCCCCACCCCCGTCCCAATATTCCGACCTCGTTTTCGAGAACATTGAAATTCTAGTCTCCAAGTGCCTCAGCTGGTACCTGCGGATGAAATTCGAGTCTCCAAGAGCCTTAATTGGTACCTGAGGACAGAACCACGTCATAGCCTCTTCCGTTGAGCTGCTCCACCTTCAGCAGAAAAGGCAACTTCACTCGGTCACGGTTTCGGTTTTTTCTCCCAAACTTACAGGATATACGAAAAAAAATTGGAAGTCTCTGAAGAGTTTGCAACGATAAAGTCTGTTTTTCAGGCTTTAAGGCCGGATGGTGCGGGGTATACCACATTCATTCGAAACATATTTCATTATTTCTGGATAGAAATCCACTG